ATATAAACACATCAATAAACAGGGTGCGCAGCATCCTGCGAGGATCCATTTGAACTGCTCGCGTCTGGATTCTTTCTGTGGCATATGTCTGGCTTTATATTTTAAATGGTAATCAGAGCTCGGGAAGAATCCAGCGTTAACTAAAGCATCAGGAGCTGCAACCGCACAATCAATCCTCCCAGAGTGGCATTGCTCCCTAAGAGATCCTTCAGCGCAGCAGCGAGCATTTTATCTCCAAGAAATTGAAGCCCAGCCCGGCGTTGGTGTTAGGCTGGAAGCAGCCCCCTTCCTCAGTAGTTTAACGCCGAGAGGCACCAGGCCCCTTTACGGTTTCCAATGATCCGTGATAAACAATAACACATCTTTTATTTCTTAAAAAACCGAGACAATCAAATAAAACGAGCAGAGCCCGAGCATAAAACACCGGGCGAGCCGTGGCTTTATTAATTTCGTGAGACACATAAGCTGCGCGGGGAGGTGAGCAGGCACCGCTGCCGGAAAGCCCAACCGCGGGGAGAGAGAGGTGATAGTAAAAGCTTCATCTGGACACTGCTTCAGCCTAGGTATAATAAACATCAGGACCGCCGGGCTATTTTATAGCGGTGCGTGTGATAAGAGGGGAGCAAAACTTGGAGCCAGGACCGGCAAAGCCCTCTCCTTCCCCTTCCCCTTCCCGGGAGCGCGGCTCCCGCCCAGGCGCAGCCACTCGCCCATGTGGGGCGAAGCGTGCGCGCCTGTGTGTATGGAAATCCATATTACACATTAATATACATCTATCTCCCAAATTCAGAGGTCGACCTGAGAGCAGCTCGGTGCATACGAAACCAGACGGGGAGGGGTTGCTGGGGAGGCCCCGGGCTTCCATTGGCTGCAAGCGTCTGCCGTGGTGCGGGGGTATCTCTAATCATATTCAGCATGTTTTGCACAAGAAATGTCAGCCAGAAAGGGCTATCTGCTCCCTTCGCCAAATTATTCCACAACAATGTCATGCTCCGAGAGCCCGGCTGCAAACTCTTTTTTGGTAGACTCCTTGATCAGCTCGGGCAGAGGAGAAGCGGCGGGAGCGGGAGGCGGAGGAGGAGGAGGAGGAGGCGGCTACTACCCCAACAGTGGTATCTACCTGCCACAAGCGTCCGATCTGTCCTACGGGCTGCAAAGCTGCGGACTTTTCCCCGTTTTGGGCAAACGCAATGAAGGTACTTCTCCAAGCATGGTCCCCGGCTCGCACCCCTACGTGTCAGGGATGGAAGTGTGGCTAGACCCCCCCCGGTCCTGTCGCATGGAAGAGCCGGAGAGCCAGCAGGCCACCTCGTGCTCCTTCGCTCCAAGCATTAAGGAGGAGAGCTCCTACTGCCTCTATGACTCAGAGAAATGCCCCAAAGGCTCGGCCTCCACAGACCTCGCTCCCTTCCCGCGTCTGAGCGGCGAGGCCAGCCCGGCCGGCGGCGGCGGCGGCGGTGGCGGGGTCCCGGTCCCGGGCTACTTCCGCCTCTCCCAGGCTTATGGCACCTCCAAGAACTACGGCGCAGGGTCGGCCGGGGCTGCCCCCTTCCCTCCGCAGCCCCCCGGCCGTTTCCAGACGCCTCCATCTTTGCCTCCCGTCCCGGACGGCGGGAGGAAGGAGGACGAGGAGCGCTCCCCCAGCCCCTTGGCGTGTGTCTCCCAGAGGGAGGACGAGACTCAGGCTTCATCTTCCACCGCAGAGGAGCTCTCTCCGGCTCCGTCGGAGAGCAGCAAAGCCTCTCCCGAGAAAGACCCCGTAGGTAAGCGAATGATGATGCTGATGGTGGTGGCGATGATTTTTAAAAAAAATTTTTAAAAAAAGGAGGAAAATAATAAAAAAAAAAAGCGGTTGAGGATCGTAGTGGCATCGCGATGCGAAAGGAAGATCCCAGCTGCCCCGCGGGGCTGCCAAGAAGCGCTGCTCAGACTGACCTTCTGAACTTTGTAATATTCGGGCATGGGGTTGCCGTAAAAATTAATGTCCGTCCTATAGTTTAAAACCCTTAGAGCCTCCGCTCCGGGCAACTTTAGCCTGCATGCTGCTTAAACATATAGAAAAACAAGATCAATCTTTCCCCTGTGATGTGAAGGTGCCTACCAGATAACAGAGATGTTTGTAAAGCATCCAAAATAAGCAATAGGCAGTGCCAATAAATAAACCTATTAACGCGGTAAGTTATATTTTACGATCCAGAATGCTTTTCGGAATAACAGCCGCGCTGAAATGTGCCATCTATGAACTGCTATCAAATTAGACTGATGAATGCACCGCGAATATCCTTCAGCGTCTACACTAGATAACAGGGTTGTTATTTATTCATTTGCTTATTTATTTCCCTTTCGGGTCCCCATGGCAAAAAAAAAAAAAAGAAAAAAACCTCCCCTTCCCTGGGCGGGAGACTTTTCAGGCGCTTCTCTTCGGCCGCATTTCAGACGCCCTATAATTCCTTCAGGCGCCCCGTTGGAAAATAATAAGGTCAAAACAAAACAAAAAAAAAAAAAAAAAAGAAAGCGGAAAACTACTAGAAAGCCAACCCCAAACCACGAACCACTCCGAGCCATCGAAGGATTGGTGTTATCTCTTTCCCAGCCGGTTCTACTGATAGGAATAAACACCCTGCGATGGGGGATTTTTAATAGGTTTATGTGGTTTTTGTTTTCTCCCCCAAAATGGTTGGAAAAGAGAGGGCCGGGGCGAGGCTCCCCGGGAAGGCAGGAGCTGGAGGCAGGGAGGCTCCGGCTTCCCAGATCACCTTGTTTTCCGCCTCCAGAGCACACTGGCAAAGTTTAGATCCGCAGGCCTTGTTTTTTGGGAAGCAGGTGCCTGGGGGGGGTGAAAACAGACCCCAGGCCATTCACCAAGCCCTCCCTCAGTAACAGTGGGCTTGGAGCAGCCGAGGGGACGAAGGGCTTTGGGGGGTCGAAGATGAGCTGCCCAGAGGGGCACCCAGCCCCGCAGGAGGCTCTTCGGACCTTTTGGAGCAGAGGTAGATTTTACCGGGCGAATCCAGGACGTTTGGGAAACCTCTTTGAAGCTCTCTGGTTCCCACCAGGACACCCCCCATCCCAATTCCCCGCAGCTGGCGGAGCGAGAACCCCCGCACACACACACACACACGCAGATGCTCCATCCACCCTCTCCCCCCAACCCCAGCTCTTTGCCTCCTCCTACCCCGCTGGTAACGTCCCTTTTTTACTTTCTCAAAACTAGGCAATTCAAAAGGAGAAAATGCAGCAAACTGGCTCACGGCAAAAAGTGGCAGAAAGAAACGGTGCCCTTATACCAAGCATCAAACTCTCGAGCTGGAAAAGGAGTTTCTGTTCAATATGTACCTGACTCGTGAGCGTCGCCTAGAGATCAGCCGCACAGTCCACCTCACAGACAGACAAGTCAAAATCTGGTTTCAGAACCGCAGAATGAAACTGAAGAAAATGAACAGAGAGAATAGGATTCGGGAGCTCACAGCCAACTTTAATTTCTCTTGATGAACCTATAAACACATCTTTATGGTTTAAAGAGCCAGTATCATTTTCCTAGGCTGTAGTCATCCGCACCTGTATGGATTAACGATTTTTTTTTTTTTTTTAGGCGTTCTCAATATGTCCTTAACCTCTTAAGAGCCGCTTTGGGGTGGGGGGTGGAGGGGCGGACTAAAGCCACGCTAATGCACAAAATGCCGTGCGTGAACCTTCCCGCTTCTTTCAGCCTTCCCCGGGGCCGGTTTATTCCTTTAAGCTTTGAAACACAGAAATACCATTTCAGGAGCTGCAAATATCTTTCCCCTCATATCTCTCTCTGAAAAGTAAACAAGCTCGGTTAAAGACGCATTCTTCTAAATTATAAGCGGTGTAACTTGGACTGTACATAGCTGCAGAATGAAGAATTTAAGCCTCGCCATATTTCTATATATTGGGAGCTTTCCCCCCCCTCCGTTTTCCTTTTCTCCCCCCTCCCCCCTTTTTCCTTCGAAAAGCAGGATTTACAATAATGAAATGCAGGCATCCTTTAAAAGGGCTTCATGGGAACGGGTGTTAAGAGCGATTTTTTTTTTCTGCTTTACCTTAAAAGTCAATATTACAGCTTTAAAATTGGCCAGGAAAATGAATTCTCTTCTCTTTAAAGGTATAAAACAGTTCGTGTTGCTCATGGACTAAATTATGACACTTACCTCTGAATTTCTCTCGCTCTTTATGGTTGTAGATATTTACTTAATGTAGTTTTGCTTAAATATGTGGAATTAGTGATTTTTTTTTTTCTATAAATAACGTTACCGTTGGTAACGCATGACAAGCACACATAAATTCCCCCTTGAGAAGAAAGTAGTCACTTTTTCCTCACTAATTTCACTGAAAATAATATATCCTGAACATCAGAAGGACTTTCTGAGCCAGAGTCTGAGATTGCGAGGGAGAATATGTTCGTCTTCCTTTATACTGTGAAGTTACATGCATTAAAGGGTCAAACATATAGGTGAAAAAAATTTAAAAAGAGAAAAAAAAAGGGGAAAAACTATAAATACAGATATGTATAAATGTCTATTATTATTAAAATGCCGGTACTGTTTTAAGCAAATGCATTCTATCGTTATTATAAATGTTAGTTCTAGCTATATCTAGTTCTTACCTTAAATCGGAATAAATTAATATTGTAATGCTGCTGTGCGTGAAAAAGACGATGTTTATGTTCTCATAGAAGAATAAAAAACCGTGGAATGAATCCTTTTAATTTTACCTCTTTTTGTGACTGTTTATCCTCAGGTTCTACTTTATGTCTTCGAGAACTTTTACAACAGGAATAGTTGCCTAAACCCCCTGCAATTACTTTAGGAATCTATTTAAATATTACCTAGACGGTCGTAATTTGTCTGGGCCATATAGCGATGGTGCTCTAAGGTTTGTCGGCTTTTGTTCAGTTTTATGACTTGCTAGTATATCTGGATTGTTGCTGTCTTGAACGAGTGGTTTCAGTTGACTGAGGAGCTGCATAGACTGAGGAAGCAAATTACTATTTCTTGAGGGTAGGGAAACGAGATATATATGTATATATATTGTTATTTTTTTTTTTAACCGAACACCTCCAAGTGTGCGGAGATCTTTAACTCCAGCGGACGCTGACAAAATTCTAGCTTTATCTCAGGGCTGAGAAGAAATCGTAAAGGTGAGCGCATGGGGAGGGAGAGGGGGGGGACACCCCAGCCTGGGAGTGGGGGGACACCCCAGCCTGGCCTCCCTGCCAGCGGGCCCCTCCAGACAAGGCTGCTCCCTACCTGGCTGCATGTGGAAGAGCTTACTTCACCCAGGCTGATTCTTTTTTTCTTTCTCTTTATTTTTTTCTTTATTTTCTCTCTTTTTTTTTTTTTTGTTTTTTGTTGCATCCCCCCATTCTTGCTGCATGCTTAGCTAATAAGAGCCTTGCACAAAAGGAAGGTAAAAGGAGGGTTGGGAGAAGAGGGACGGTTCATGCTTCCTTGCAGGGTATGTGTCTGCCGGGAGGGAGGCGGGGGGGGGACGGACAGACAGACAGACTTTGAACCCGGGCTTCCTGGGAGCCGTTAGCTTTTCATGATGTAACATTGTCGTGCACGGCCTTTTTCTTCCCGATTGCATCTGCATGGAGAGGGGAGAGCTGCCGGGGGGTGGGTGGGTGAAGGGGGGTGGGGGT